GGAGGGCAAAGCACTCAGGCAGAGGGACAAGCAAGCACCAAGATCCTGAGGCAGGAAAGAGCTTGGCAGGTTTGAGGATCAGCAGGAAGGCCAATGTGGTAGAGCAAAGTAAATGGAGGGGAAAGTGGCAGGAAGGGTTTTGGCAAGATAGGAATAGACATACAGGAGAAAGAGAGAGAAAAGTATGAAAGAGATCAAAAGAGTCAAAGAAGGGGCTCCAGGGGGTGCCTGGGTGGCTCAGTCAGTTAAGCATCCGACTCTTGATTTCAGTTGAGGTCATGATCTCATCAGGGTCCTGAGATGGAGCCCCCTCCACGCTGGCCGTGGAGCTTGCTTAAGATTCTCTCTCTCTCTCTGCCCACCCCCTCTAAAAACAACAAAACAAAACAATAACAACCACACATACACCAGGTCCTGTGTCGAGGACCGTGGATAGTCATCTAATTCTCAAGCATCCCTGTGACATGGGTATCATCCCCATTTTACAGGACATACAGCTAAGATCGCAGAGCTAGACGTGAACACTGGTCCGTCCCTAACCCAGGCTGTATGTGTGTTATATTCCACACAAAAATAGTCAGTGGCCACGGCAAGATTTTAACCAAGGTCTGTGGACTCCCAGATTGTGAGATATAATTATTTAATTATACACTATTTATAATTAAGTTTATAATTTATAATTAAATTGACTTAACAAAATGATATACATAATTTTTTAATGATGTACTACATGTTGGCTAATTGAACTTAATAAAAAAATAATGATATACATAATTTTTAATTGGTGGGGAACAGAGATATATAAAGGATAAAGTAAACAAAAACAGAGAGAAACAAAAAGGAGAAAAGAAAAAGGCATGCACTTGAAGACAAAGACCAGGATACAGAAACTGAGAAGCAAGGCCAGTGAGATACAGAGAAAGAGAAGCAAAGACTCAGACAGAGTGAGAGAGGTTGACGGAACCACAAAACTTCCTTTAGCTTGGAAGCTCCATGAGGGCAGGGATTTTGTCTGTTTTGTTTTTACTACACCCTCAACACTTCGAGCAGAACGTGGCACTCGGTAGGTGCTCAATGTATGCTGACAGGAAACTAGCCTGGACAAGCAGGTGCCTGCAGTTCCCAAAGCCACCGTTAGGTGGCAGTATCCCATGCCCTGAAGCCTCCAAATGCCTAAATCCAAAAGACCAGCCGTGGTGGATTTGCCTCCACAAGCCTCTGACTTTCATGAAGGATGTCTTCCTCCTGGCTCAGCCCCGCCTTTCCCTGCACAAGCCCGGGGCGACGAGTGACCTTTCCGCCTGAGACACCCGCTTCACTCCCTCCACCACCCTGCCCAGTTAAACAAGCCTTTGTCCTTAGCCCCTTCCGGCTGGGCCCCAAGGCACCTGGGTCCTTTCCAGGCCCGGAGATGGGGCTGGGATGAAGGTGGGGCAGCTGGGACAAGGCCAAGGAAAAGTCCCAGGGACTTTGGAATCAGTTCTAGCCTTCCTGGACCAGGAGTGTGTGATCCAGCCCCTTCCTCCCTCACACCCCCAACCCCTCCTCCCTCAGACCGAGTCCAGCCCCATACCCCCTCCTCCCTCAGACCCAGAGTCCAGCCCCATACCCCCTCCACCCTCAGACCCAGGAGTCCAGGCCCCAGCCCCCTCTTCCCTCAGTCCCAGGAGTCCAGGCCCCCAGCCCCTCCTCCCTCAGACCCAGGAGTCCA